TCTCCTGCCTCAGCCTCCTGAGTAGCTGGGATTACAGGCACGTACCACCATGCCCAGCTAATTTTTTGTATTTTTAGTAGAGATGGGGTTTCACCATGTTGACCAGGATGGTCTCAATCTCTTGACCTTGTGATCCACCCGCCTCGGCCTCCCAAAGTGCTGGGATTACAGGCTTGAGCCACCACGCCCGGCCTGTAATGATTCATTTCTAATAACAAGTTATATGGAAATTACATAGAATAAATAGAACTTATTTTTGAAGTGCAACTACAGCATGGTCACAAAGGCCTGATGCGTGGCAGTTCAAATTTATCTATGTTCCTCTCCATTCTTTGCAAACATTGTAGTTTTCTCATTTTCCTCTGGAACCTACCTTCAGGTTGAAGACTTGACATCACAGAAGCAGGGCCTGACAGAGGGTTTTATTTCTTCAGTTGCTGGCAGGCCATGCTCTAACATCGAGAGTAATAGGGACCACTCTCTTGACACACTTAGTTCTTAATTCTCACTTTCCCTGACATAACCATTCTTAGATTTGTAACTTCCATAGATAGTTAACCCACGTAATTTGATTCAGAGCTATATAGTATACTGTATAAATATAGTTTTGCATGATTTCAGTAATGAGTTTATTTAAAAGCACAGGATTTGAAATATGTGTCTTTATGGATAAAACAAGGTAGAATGTAATTGCATTTTATCTACTAATATATGATGATAAGCAATACTGTTAGGAGTAATGATATACATTACTTTGCTTATGCCTGTGAATGTGACTAAGCAGTGATCATTGATGATAACTGGCTAATGAAAAAGTCATAAAAATTAAGTCTATGTTTTATTCATGAATTTGCCTATTTATTTAATATGTGTTTATTTAATGCCTACTATATTTAAAACCTTGAGATAAGAGGACAGTGAACAGGGAAGGCATAGTTTTTACTTTCAGGGAGTTTTAGCCAGGGAGATAGACATTAAACATGAAAACAGGTATTATTTGATTGTAATTATAAAAATTGCATTACAGTAGAAGAATGAGTTGCACAAAGATTAGAAAATAGGGTGCTGGCTAAGGTTTATGCAGTGAGGGAAACTTGTAGGAGCCCAAGACTTCGTAAAATTAAGGGGGAAATTTTACTAAGAATGTCCTAGGCAAACAGAATAGCCAAGCCTTCAGACAGGAAGAGTAGTGAGATTGTGGACCTGAAAGGACATTAGAATTAGAGTCCAGAGTGCTTACTAAGGCATGTAAGCTCCTGCCTCTCTACACTTCATCTCATTTCATAAATCTCTACCTACCCCCACCATCTCTACAGGTGATAGATAAGCCACATGATTGCTGAAATTATATAGGGATGGTAAAAAGAAAACTGGGGGAATAATAGAACCTTGAGACCTCTTGATCCTCAGAGTTTGAGTAAATTAAGGATACTCCAGCAAAGGAGTCTAAGAATAAGAACTCAGAGTGGCAGGAGGAACATTGGAAGCCAAAGGAGGTGACCAGACATGTCAGATGCTGCTGAGAAGTCAACCAAGTTTAAGTCTGGCAGGTTATTGGCCAGATTCAAGTTTCTGAATAGAAATGGATGCTGGGTAGAGAAGAAAAAAAAAAGAGCAAGGGAGTGATGGGTATAGAGAAAGTAGAGGGATCAATGGATCTCAGATCCCAGTGAGGTCCACGAATAGCCTTGGCAGGGATTGTGGTAAAAGCAGTCTTGGAGAAGGGAGATTTGGCTGGAGTGGAGAGAATAAACTTGAGGATAGGCGATGAAGTGAAAGAGGAACATATTTAATAATATTGGAAGTGGAAACATTTCAGGTGATTACAGTAGACTTCATTTGTGATCTTGGGACTGAAAGCATGAGGTAGAAAAATGAGAAATTCATTGGCAATAAGGAGAGCCAGGGATAAATAAGATAGGATGTTGATGTAGATGTGGATATTGTCCAAGATCATGGAAATGCTGGGACTAGAAAAGACAACATTCCAGGTGCCAAAGCCTTTTCATGAAAGATGCGTAGAGATTAGTGGATAGATGATACCAACAAGAAGGGAGATTATCAAGATACCAACAAGAAGGATTAATCTAGCATAGCTAGATTAGACAGAAACATCAAAGCAGTAGGCATGTTTTGCAAGGAGGTAATGATGCAATGGACAACACTCAGGGGAAGGGGATCCTCCACTTAAGGGTAGCAGGGATGTAAAAGAATAAGCAGCTAGCATCATTCACAGAAGTGGTGTCTTCAAAGAAGAATGGGATTTTAGTCAGGGTGAGAAGGTAGAGACAATGTTCAGAAAAGAAGTTGAATATGTAGTGAAGTTTGCAAACCATAAAGCAAAGCTATCAAGACACAGTGGAAGAATTTGAGACATAGGAAAGGGAAGAGGGAAGAGAGAGAATTGAGAGTTAGTAGAGGGCAATTGGGCAATTAAGAATGAAACGTTGTGGGAATTTTATTGTAGCAGAAAAGAGATGCCAGGGTATAATATGCAAACCCAGGGAACTAGAAGGAGGGGCCAAGTAAACAAGGAAGAGGGAGCGTGGCAGGGTCAGTAACTTAAGAGACACCCACCTCCCTTTACGTTAGGACCTCAGTACCGCAGCCCGGCTATAATATATAATGTAAAAGAGAAGTTGGAAAAACTAACAGGGTTTGCCTAAGAAGAGACTCCACTGTAGGCACTGTTTCCAGCAAAATTAGGTTCTTAATTACTGACACACTAATATGTTTATAAAATGTCCAGTCTGCCAGAGGTTTGCACCATGAAGCACAGGACCTTCGCAACACAGAAACTATTCTGATCAAGGGGTTATTTTCTCTCTCAGGCATTCACAACAATCCTTTCATGTGTAAATAAGTTCAGCATTTCTTTCTTTTCAGTCTGAAATATATTAGAATACACATAACTTGTATGAATTCTTAACTTTCCCTCAATGTTTTAATATTTTCAATTGAATTTGGTATGAACAAACATGAAGCTTATTCCTTCTGTATTGTATTGCTCAGTTCTGAGAAACTATGATTTAATACTCATGTCGTAACTTGAAATAATAATATATTTTTCAGAGGTATCTAATTCAGAATCAGGAAAGTAGTTGGATGCTGAAATCTGCTTCTTTCCAAAAACTATGTGATAATACAGGCCTGAAAATAAATTTTTGAAATTACAGTGACTTAGGTTTTTACGGTTTGTGAAGGAGCTAAACATAAACAAGCAGGGTAGTTTAGTTCTAGTTAATATCAATACCCAAACACTGATCTTTTGAGCTGTCTCTTGTAGTATCACTAGGATCTCTTCCTTTGCCATTAGAAAAGGAATTTGAGAAATATCTACTAATGACTTACCATACTCTATTTTAATTATTTGCACAAACAATGTAAGAAATTATGTTTGAATAATTTTGAGTCTGAGAGAATGTCATGTTGGATTTGTATTCTCACACGACATCCAGTATCTGGGATACTATAGATAAATGGTGGTTGAAGGTACCCGTCATCTATCAGCATACAATGCTGCATAACCGCCAGAAAAACATAATGGCATACAACCAAAAGCACATTCATTTTGTTCACGAAGCTGTGGAATTCAGCTGACCTGAGCTGATCTCAGATGATCTAGGCTAGTTTCACCCAAACGTCTCGGGCTCCTCTGGTTATTGGTTGCTTCAGCTTGGACAACTGGGGTGACCTAACTCTGCCCATCTTGTGTTTAATCTGTGGTCAGCTAATACAGGCATAGCCTCATGGCATAGTGGAAGTTAAGGAATGAACAAAAGAATTGTGCGAGCCTCTTTCAAGCCCCTGTGTCAATATCCTGTTGGGCCAGAAGAAGCCACATTGAGAGGTCAAATGTCAGAGTAGGATAGCACTGCAAAATTCTATAGAAAGGACATGGATACAGAGACGGGTGAAGAGTGAGGGCTATCCATGCATCCAGTTCACTGCATTAAAAATCTCAAGAAATCAATCATAAAGAACACTGTCCAAGGTTCAGGCTCAGCACTGTTCACTTGTTAACTCAAGTGAATTATTTAATCATTCTAAAGCCTAATTTCCTTATTGGCCCTTCTCAAACTTTAAAAGCCATTGGTTTTATAAAATTGAGCTTTTAATGAATTTCATGCTATATACAGTCTATAAGAGAAACTTCACAGGAAAGTTGTCATTGTACTATCCTTTAGTGAGCCAACATGGCTAGTCTGAATGGCCATGATTGATTATCAAATATTGACGCATTCTGTAATATTATTCAAATTGATAAAATTTTAGTCTCGACTTGGTATGAATTAATTAAGTACTGGAAGTTGAATTTTCAGTTGGAGTCTTCATTTTTTGCTCCCATCTGATGATTCTTTTGAAGCATACAGTGTGTCAGTATAATGTCAAATGCTGTGACATCTCTTACATGTGAGATGAGCTATAGGGGCCATTGATGCTGTGCCTTAATAATTCATTGTTATGATGAATTATTACTCTAAAATTGACTAGAGGAGCTTTGTCAAATTTACATAATGCTCATAAAACTGTGGGTTAATTTATAGTAAATGTTATGATTTGTTTTATATAAAGCATACAGATAATACAGAAATGAAATCTGCTTTAATTATATAATATGTAATTAGTAATAGATAATGAAGTGCTGGATTAGTTAACTATAAGAATAAAAACTAAGTAAAATTGTTCCAAATGAAAAATATTTTATAAGTTTCACAAGAAGAAAGTAATATAAACAAATGGTCTTTGAAGTTGGTTTTCTATGCCTAAAATGACTTCTTATTCTAGTTACTTAGATTGCTTCAAAAATTGTACACCTAGATTTCCAAAGTAAGTTGATGAACCTATAATTTGTAACTTCCTTTGACATGTCGAATGTTCTGTTTCAGACATAAATAAATGACTTGCCATGTGATAAATCGTTCATATCTCTGTGAAACATTTATTTTGGACTGATAATTTACTTGTAATATCAATCACTCTTACCTGTGTCATTTCAGGATCATCATGTAGACATATCCAAGAAACTTCACCAGAATCAAGCTGGCCTGGATTCAAAAGTACCAGTTGGTAGTCAGAATGATTTCGTGGATGTAGAGAACGAGAGGAGCAACTGTGGGGCCACAGCAGTAGCAGGTACTAACGTGACTACAAGTCAGTTCAACCACAGTGGTTTAACTGTCCACATGACAAAGGTGCAATGGACAGATTCTTACTGCCATTTTGTTTGGAATATATGGCTCAGCCAAAGTGACCACCTGCCCTGCAAATCACATTGAAATAAAGTATTGCATGAGGCATAATATTGAACACTCACAACAATAATGATAATGTTTATTGTTTTTCGTTATTAGATTTTTCACCTCATTTATGGTTTTCATGGCCAATGAAGTGTTTTAAGATTGCTTGTATTGTTGTGATAATAAAATTTTGATATTTTTTCTAGAACAATGAACAACAAGAATTACTCTCTTGAAAAGAGATTAAAATAATTGACATGCTTTAAATTTAAAGAAGTATCAGATAAGTCCTTGACTGCAAACTTGAATTATTATCATCTATAGAGATTGTGATCTGATATTTTTCATCTCTACTGAGGGCAAAACAAGAGCAAATGGACTTGCGGAGGAGTTGATAGCATTCAATTAAGCTACCCAGACTAACTTCCATATGGCAGAAACTTGGGATGAGATAGCAAGGGAAATAAGAAGTTTGTTTCTTGCCAATATTTTAGATACACCAAACCCCCTCAATTTCTATTACACTTTGTCTTTGAAACTTCACATTTAGTTCATGGGAAAATTGAAACTGTAATTATTCTTAAGCATACGGTTTGTTCCTTTCTCCTCCTTATTTGGTTTTGTAGCTAGCACGCTTTCTTCTCCAAGGACATGTAAAAGTCAAAACACTAGATATAAAGTCTCTGAAGTGTTCCTGCTCCAAACCCGGTCTGCACAATCTGGGTTCTTTCATGTAGTTAGCTTACAGGCTTCTGACACTCCTATAAAAATGTCCCATAGATCTTTTCTTATTACCTTTTCATTGACTGTCTTCGAGTGAGAAAAATGAAATTCTGTAAAGGGCTTTGAAAACCATGCATATTGCAATTCCTCCAAATTTCTAATACTAATCAAGTGTGACTATAAAAGAAACAACCACTGCAGTGAAATTGCTGCAGCGTGTAGAGTCTCAAGCCATTATTAATTCATTGGAAACTGATTTTTTTTTCTTTTTCTTTAAGATTGTGGATTCTAAAAAGTACCAGATAACACAATTCCTGAGATCAAAGTTTTTGTTTGAATCAGAGGGAAATGTTACCTAATCTTCTCTTGTATGTGAATCTTTCGGGCATGGTACAGCAGTAGTCCCAGCTTCGTGCCCTGAGTGAGTAGTAAAGCGTATGTTACAGACCAGAGCAGCACCTGCTTTGAACATATTACTTGGAAGTGATGATTTTAGAGACAAGGATGACCTGGAATTAAAGCAGTGGTTCTAGGCAAATGAGACTCCTTAACTTCATTCAAGAGAGTAAAATGGAATCTCCTTTCCTAAATCAATTTGATTTTAACATCCATTTATTTAGAAATTACCCAGTATGAACTTCTTGGCAATATTTTTATTTGCTTTCCCATTTGTAAATGCAATAAATTACCGTCTCTCTTCATTATGGATTATAATTGTGTGATAATTCTATATATAAAAATGCAAAAGTAGAGTAGAGCAAAAATATAATTTTTCAAACTTTATTTTTATCTTATATAATATAGTGTATGTTCTTCATTTCCAAAAAGAAAAGACTCATTGGAGCCATACTTTACACTTACCATACTTCATGTAGATAGCTCATGGATTATGTAGTAGCCTCCTTTGAGTTCAGGATGGGTAGATTAGGCATTTTCTGAGCTTTCTCCTCTTTCTAATGCCTAGACGTAAGTCAGTCATTTCCTAAATTTTCTTTGATGAGAGTAACAGTTGCAGAGACTTTATAGCATATCACTGACTTAAAAAAAAAAGAAAAAACCTAATTAAGATAGGGGTGCTGCTTTCCTTTTCTAGCATTGCTCTTTCAGGGACCCAGACCTAATTCTTTCAGTTAAATGGTGTGGAACCTTTTCAAATATGTATCTAATAATTGTACTAAAGGGAATTATTTATCTTGGTATTCAATGTCAACAACTAGAATTTTGCTGTGAATGACTGAACATGAATTGTGTAATAAGACTCTATTCCAGCCAAGAGCACAGTAAACCCTCACTCAAGATCAATGCTGCCAGCCGCTGATATCTTCGCTAAGAAACTGATGAAAACATTTCACTAGATAATCTAGATGACCTTCTTCTGTGGGTCCCTGATTCACTCTGGTTGCTTGGTGATGCCCATGCCTTATTTTAAAAACATTATTATTAATTCTACATGTTATTTTATTCATAAATTACTAAAAAAAATAGTTCTCTGAAAGCAGGATGATTAAGTGATAGAATGACAAAGTGTACACCTTTAGAGACAGAACTGAGATTTCTGGGTTTACATTTTGGCTCCCCCATTAGGTAACCATGTACCATGTGCAATTTGTTAAAAAGACTATTCCATTATTTGTAAAATTTAGTTACTGGTAGTGCTATACCATGGGATATTTTCTAAAGATTATATTAGATCAAATAGGTAAAAGTTAGTATAGTACATAGTAACTACAATGAAGTCAAGCTGCAATAATTAACTACTGAGTCTTTACAAATTGATTGCTAAGGGAAATTTTGTTTTCCTACAGTGTGCTCTGTAAATTGCTGGCTGTGGCCACTTGATGTTATGGGTCCTTCAGTCTCTTGAGTTTCTGTTTGTATTTTTTTGCCTTTGAGGACAGTATGTTCTTGGAAATGTTGTGGCCTTCGTGAATGCTATGAATATTGGAAAGGATGAGAAACCCTCTTTGTTAATGTCATTGATTCCTCAGAGTAAAAGAAACACTGCAATTGTTTAGCGACATGGATGTCCTGACTCTTTCTGATGGACTCTTTCCCCATCTTACCTCAGCGGCAGTAGCTGAGGACGAGCACAGGACTTCAATGTTTATTCAGCTTAAGGCCTATTTTTAGCTGATAGCATGTGTTAAGTGGAAATGTTTTCATTGAGTTAGTTATTTGTTGCATCAGTTCCCTGGGCTGATTTGCCTATGGAAAATTGATTGGGAAGTTGTCTCAGGAACACTTGAGGCAGAGTCCCAGAAGCAGGTCTGGGCAGAGGGAGAAATTGAACCATGATACAGTCACAACAAAGACCTCAACTGATCCTGTAGGGAGCTCTGGAATTGGCATGGCTCTTTAAGGTTGTTCTGAATTAGAAAGTAGGGAACAGAGCTTTATACCCCCTGCATCAAACAATCATCAGATGCAGCTGTCCCTGAGAAGGGTCTGTGGTTACAGGCAATGTGGCTTTTTAGCCAAGGGCACAGCCATTTGGTATAAGAGGACGATTATTTAGTTCTGAGGCAGATCTGGGTATTATGTGGGTCACTCATTAATTGCTGCCATTGCTTCTGGTTATCTTCCTGGCTAAACAGGGGGCCATTTTCCTTTTTCCTCCTTATGTCTCTCTAGAAACTGAAATCTTTGCCAGGAAGGATGACCTTTTAAATATGCTTATTTGTTTTTGCCCTACATAAACATAAATGTTTTCTAGTGAGCAAATTTTGTACTCCCCCAATCCATATTTTCTAATGTAATTTTCTTCCTTTTGTAGCTTTGACTATGTTCTTTGAATTTTCCTACCACCTTACACTAAATCTGTGCTACTGCTTGTCCTTCATAAATTAGACTTGTCAAGTAGTAAGAAAAATCCTAGGCTAGAAAATGAAACCCAGACACCCCACCAAAATAATGGGTACACCAGATAATCTGTATGCCCTGTCGGTTCTGAAAGCCTGTGATCCTATGGGTTATTCTGAGTTAGAGCATTGAAATTGTTAGGCTCAAAAGGTCCTATCTCTAAGAGAGACTCACATACAGGTGATTGACCACATCTAAGATCCTACTTAATTTGGAAATTAAACAGGTCAGAATAAACAAACTCCCGGGGAAAGCTCTCCACTTAGGCCAAGGCGGAAGCTAGGGAATAAAGAATGATTCCGTAGCTTTAGTTTAACCCAAATGTTTCATGTAAACTTCAGATCTTATTTGTATCATGGAAAATAAAACATGAGTCAGTTCCCTATCAGGACCATTTTGAGGATTAGACAAGTCAGGGGTTCTATATTAAAGACCTTAATTGAATGGCTGATTATATGTAATCAAGAGGCAGGTAGTTTAGATCATAAAACACATTGCTGTTTCTTAATTTTAATGAAGAAACATCTCAATAATTCAATGTTATTCTAAGTAGTGTCTAAGTGCAAAAACTACCTGATTCCAAAGTCTAGAAAACCTGTTATTAAAAATATTGCATAGTTTTCAAGTGATGATTTCAAAATCTATCCTTTCATCTTTATATTTAACATCAATGCAGCTTTTTCATAATATAAACAAAATAATGATTTAGCAGAATTTATTTTACATTTCTAGATAATGCTATTTTAGTTTGGAAATACTGATACCCTAAAAAAAATATTATAAGATCGCTCTTCGTTTTATAGCAAACAATCTCCCTCTTCTCAGAAGATTTAAATGTTTAAGAATGTGCTGCAAGGAGAACCCAGTCATTTCATTCTTTGAACAATTCTGAAATATCATTTCCTATTAGGCAGTTGTGTGAGCACTGACAGCCTGGCCCCTCTTCTTCCCTAGAGATTAATTTATTTCTTGCAGTGCTTGCTCTTCATGGAAATCTTACTCGTAAGCCTTCACCAATGGGAGATCTCATCAGCAGAATGTTAATTATAAAAGCAAAACTGTGTACCATATTGAGTGAGAAAAACAGTTCTCTAGGCAAAGCAACCTTTTTCTTTCTTGTTACTCTGCTCTCTGCTCCATCTAGGGTTGAACAGAAATATTAACCCCTGGGAAAATATTCCACAAGGTGCTAGGGGATGGTAGAAAATGCAAATTTTACAATGAGACAGACCCATGTCTAAGCTCTAATTCAAGAATGTCACACTTGTTTGTGACTTTGTTTACTTATCTTTACAATTAGAATAAACATACTTACCTTACATGAAAGTTCTTGTGCTTTAAAATATCACTTAATGTGCATGTTAAAAATACATATTCTTGGGATCTATTCTCTAGAGCAGAGGTAGCAAACCATCATGGCCTGTGCGTAAAATATTAATAGGTCCCATTGCCTGTTTTTTTATGGCTCAGGAGCCATGAATGTTTGCTTTTTCATTTTCAAATGTTAAAGAATATTAAAAAATAATTTTTGACATGTAAAAATTATATAAAATTCAAATTTTAGTGTCTATGAGTAAAGTTTTATTGGCGCACATCCACATTTATTTAAACATTGTCTTTGACTGCTTTAGTGCTCTCTCACCACAGTCAAATAATGGTAGCAGATATTTACCGTCTGGCTCTTTAGAGAAAAAGTACGATTCAGAGGTTCTCAGATACACCACAGGGATATATTTCAACATATCTCAGGTGAATCTGCTATAGGGGCTCTATGCATTACACTTTGAAAAATAATGCACTAGAAGAATTGTGAACAACCTTTCTGTTCTTCTCACTTATCACATCCACTCTACCAGAAAGCCTGATCGGCTTTATCCTCAAACCACATCTAGAATATGCTCATTTTTTTTTTCCGTGGCTACTGCTACCAACCAAATCGAAACTATCTGCTGCTATCTACCACTGTCTCTTATCCAGATTCTTGCAGTTCCATTCTAAGTAGTCTATTTGCTCCCACACTTGGCCCGTAGTGACCGTTCTTGACACAACAGCCAGAGTAAGTATATTATCATCTTAAATCAGACAGTGTAACGCCTCTCATTAATATCCTCCAGTGGCCTCCCTACTTCTCCTCCCTTCTCACTACTCTGGATATGTTGGCTTCATAGTGGTTTCTCAGAAACCCTAGAAGAGCTCTATCCTCAAGGCTGGCACAGACTGTTTTATCTAATGCCACAATCTTTCCCCAGAGATCCATGTGGTTTTCAGCTTCACTTCCTTTAGGTCTTTCTTCAATGGTTACCTTCTTGGTGATCACCTTATTTTAAAACTATAACCCTCCTGTCTGGGACTGTCTGCTTCCTTTATGCTCTCTAACATATTTTTCACTGTCCTCTTTATTTTGATTATTGGTCACCTATTCCACATAAGGTCACTATGAAGGCAGGGATTTTTATCCGTTTGCTCTATCCTTAGGTTATAGGAAAGTCTCTGGCTCATAAGAGGTTCACATTAAGTATTTCTTGAATACAAAAATGAACTCCATACTCCTGTCTTGTGTTTGACAGATGACATGTGGATTCTATCAAACATTTTCTGCATGCAAAAACAGTTGCCAAGAGTGCAAAGACTCATCTCTGAAACATAATGCAATACCCACTTAATCACTTCAAATGAGAGGGGAAATAAAGCAGCTATTAGCTTGTATTATTTGTTTGTTCAGTCTCAGCCAACAATTTGATTACAAAAGATATAAGGAAAGGGAAACTAATGGTGGGTACAAATACGAAAACATGAATGAAAATCCAGTTGAAACTGCTCAGAAGAGACTCCAAGAAACCACAATCAAGTTGCATCCTATAAGAGGTAGATGGCTCACGGCAGGTTTGAATGTTCACCATCATGTTGAGCAATTTCAGGTGACTGGCACTCAAAGTTCCCTAAAAGGAAAACGAAGAGGGAATATTTTTCCTTCAAATTAACCCTTTAGGAAACATCAGCCTTATAAGATAATGTAAATTACTTCTAGACATACTTCAGCTTGATTCCTCCAAAATATGAGGAAATGGAAATTTTTTTTCATATTAACCTTCTTATTCCAATAATTATCTATGTAATTTTATGCTTATAACTTCATTTTGTAGATTATTCCTACAAAGATGTAATTCTAACCATTGAAGGACACTTCTTTAGCCTGTGTTTTTGGGAGAGAAAAGCAAAATGAAACTCCATTCTATGTCTACTCTTCTAATTGGGAAATACTTCATTTGATCTCCAAGGAACCTAGTCTACATGATTATAAATACCTCAGTTAGTGTGATCATCTGAGTAGTTGCTTCAGTGAATATTCATTTCAATGAAATCATCACCTCCTTATTAAACTTTTGACATTTCCAGAAGGAATAGGTGATGAATGCCAAAAAGAAAAATGCTTTAAATCAACTGGGATTTTAAAACCTAAATCATCGTCAGAAAAAAAAAAGTTCTTTCACATTTTGACATTTCTTGAAAGTTAGTATGCTAAGGAACACAGTTTTGATTCAATATGGAATCTTCTGCTATCAACTGGAGCTTGCCACCAGAGCATAGATTCAATTTAGAGGACCATTGCACTGGGTGAAGATTGGGTTAGATCAGGCAGGGTGAGATGACCTAAAAGGTCCCCTCTGAAACTAAGATTGTTTAAATCCCAGTATTTTATTTGGAAATAATCTGATTATTTTAATTACCTCAACTCCCATTTTTCTGCTTGATTATGTACTATCTTAAATCAGCTTATTGACAAGGGAGAGCTAGACCAATAACTGTCAAGATGACAGATTGAACTTTCAAACTGCATGCTTGTAATAGATTTATATGACTCTGAGATGGTAATAGCAAGTAATATTTCTGTAGCACTTTACATTTTACAAAGTACTTGCAAGATCATTATTTCATTTGATATTTCCTAAACTCTCTATGATTCAGTTATTATAATGAAAACGTATTCACTGATAAGAAAATGGAATTCAGGGATTCCTCAAGACACACAGCCAGTTAAGTTGTAGGCCCAGGAATCAGATCTAGGTCTTCAGATTCCAATTCTCTGTACTACAATTCATTTATTTCATTTTCCTTCATCCCATCCCCCTGCTCCCTAAGAAAAAGCAGCGCTGTAAGGAAGAAATATTGCTGTTATTCCTTTTTATAGATAAAGTCACAAAGATAGTAAATGATAGAAGTGGGAATAAAATCTGGGCATACTGCCTAAAAATCTTGTGTTCTTTTATCTAAAATGTATATTGTACAGTGTGTGGTTTTATTATTGTTTGTCATATAAGAAACATCTGAAAATCTAAAGGCATCCTTTGAAGACAGTGGATCATGAGGAGTGGGAAGAAAATCTAGGAGAACATGCAGTGCAGGTTCTCTTCCTCATCAGTCCACTGACCGCTCTAGTTCCCAGCTCCAGATAGTACTGATGGAAACGTTGATAGAGGAAAGAAATTCAGACCATTAGGGGAATTAACATGATGTGTAGAGATATTCCTCTTCTTTCTTCTTCGACATTACCTTTCTTTTTTCTCAATTAGTTTGTGACCTCCTCAGGAGTCACAGAACTGCACATTTTGTTTCTGTGTTTCACATATATCATAAAAGTCGCTAAGAGATGGTGAGATAATTTCAATCTTTTAACATTTATTGACATATTCTATCTTTGTGATTATTCCATTCAATAGGCAGTATTTTCCTCCTTCTCCTTCTCCTTTAAAAAAATATGAGAAAATGAGGCACATAAAGGTTAGGTAAATTACTTTAGGTTATAAAGTTAGTGTGACAGAAAAAGAATTCAACGAAGAAAAGAAAGAAGAAAGTGAGGAAAAATGGGAGGGGGAAGAGGGAAGGAAAACAAATGGAAGAAATAAAGGAAAGGAATGAAGGAAAGGAAGAAAAGAAGGAAGGAAGAAAGGGAGGGAGGGAGAAAGGGAGGGAGGGAGGAAGGAAGGAAGGGAGGAAGGAATGAAGGAAGGAAGGAGAAAGGAAGGAAGGAAGGAAGGAAGGAAGGAAGGAAGGAAGGAAGGAAGGAAGGAAGGAAGGAAGGAGAAAGGAAAGGAAGCGAGGAAGTAAGGGAGGAAGGGAGGGAGGGAGAGAGTGGGGAGGGAGGGAGGGAGAGAGTGTGGAGGGAGGGAGGGAGGGAGGCAGTTATAGGCTACTGAGTACTCAGAAGGAAGACCAACAGAGACTTTCTCTCCAGGTCCAGGCAGCTAGCACTTAACTAACCTCTAGTAGAACAGAGGCAGGGGACGGTCAGAGAGATTTCTGGTTTTCTGTTCCTCTTGAAGACTTGCAGTGCTTGCTTTTAGGGCTTCTTTCAATCACCCATCCATCGTGTTCCGTAAAGCCATAGTAGAAAGGAATTAAGTGTCTTGCCTGAAGACAGGCACAATTCCTATTTGTAGCTTAGCTTGCTTTATTTGAGAGTCTGACATGTTGCATTAATGCCAGGTGTATATGTTAACTGGGAACTTTAACTAGATAGTACAGCTTATGCTGGAGGTCTGTTGGTTTTTCTTCAGTTTAACAATTACTAGGTACCCTTTTCCTCCTCTGTAGTTCTTAGAACTCCTAAGTAGGCTTGTATTCTATTCTGCAGGGATAGTGCCACAGCCAGACTGTTGAGTCCAGAAACAGACATTTTTAGACACAATCAGCTTCATCATCTTGCTAGCTGTGTGATTTCTAGGCAGGTCTCAACTTCATTGAGGCCTCAGTTTTCTACCTTACATTACCCATATGATAGAGTTTTTATAAGGATGAACTAAAATGCAAAGAAAAGCATTTTGTACATGGAAAAACACTTCTACATCTAAGCTATTATCTCCTGCCTTACACAAGTATCTACCTTGTTTCTGAAGAGCTACTTTGTTCTGTTTTTTTTTTCCCCCATTTTATTTTGTTGGCTCTTTCTGCTTTACTTCCAACCATTTCTCAAAAAGCATACATGCATGTGAGTGTCAACAGTATCTGAAAGCAGGCAGTTTCCTTTCTGGTTATTTTCAATGCTTGTTTCTGATAAACGCTTCTTATTTTTTTATTTATAGAAATGTTCAAAAATGAAAAACATCAAAAATAACAAGATGTGACAGAAGCCACTTAGGCAGCAAGCATAAATGTTGCAGTGAAAAAGGAAGCTAGCCTTCTAACTGAAAAGCAAGTATTTCCCAACAGACTCCAGAAGAAACTTGACTCATCGCTGTAAACAAGAGAACAACCTTAAACGTCTTAACAGATAAAACTTAGAGAAACCTATGGTATAGAATTCCTATAGTCTATTCTGTTGTGTCTAAGCCTGTATGTATTGTTTTGTTGTTATTTAGGAGATATTTATTTAAGGTGCACACTTTGGGGGAGGTGTTCTTATTTCTACTACCAACAACTAAGTAATTGAGAAATAATTTTGTATGTCAGTTTCTGAGTAAAAGCAGTCTGAAATGGGATAAAAGCCCACCAAATATTTTCATTTTTTTCAGAATGTGTTTTGCCATTTTTAGTGCTATCATCATTTCTAACAAGACCTAAAGAAAAATAATTTTATATCTGAGTGACTTAAAATGTCCAGGCTTCTTATCCACATCCCTTGGATCTGTGGAAAGGAGTCTGGCTTCACATTCGCAGTGTATTTGTAAAATGCACTGTGTAATGAATATGTTTGAATTTCAACAGCCAAAGCCATTGAGAGTCATAGGAGTTTTTCCACAACCTTCTCTTTTATTCCCCAACAACAAGTTCATGACTGAAATTTCACCAGATTTCTGATGTGATGTCTTAATATTTTATGTACTATATACCAGATAATTCTTTACATGAATGTTTATTAGGATTGTAGGAAAATTATCTAGTTAATCATAACATTTGATGGAAAGAAAAAGGCAATAAAATTATAATGAGATATAATAAATTTGGTTGACAATAAACCAAAGGGATTCTTAATTAGTATACATTAGAATTATGTTCTTATAGTTGTATCATCTATAAAAATAACTTTAAGGGCTCTCACATGTTGATAATTTATCTTATTATGTATTAAGTATACAAGAACAATGTTATTTTTCCTCTAACAGAATGAAGAGACAGGCGCTCTGGTTAATGTTACATAGGAATTTAATAGTAAAGCTTGAACTTCATCCATAGATCATACTCTGTACAAAATCTGTTAGCTAACATCCTATCTCATACTTATTTTATGTTATATGGAGAAATTTGTTGATTTTGTACCAAAGTGTTTCTGAAGACAATAAATTGTGAGTCAACTTTTTAACAAAAGAAATACAATTAGAGATTTTTCGATGTTTATATTCTGATTAAGCTTACTTTCCCTTATTGTTTTTCTTTTTAAGCGATAATGAATCCTGATTTCTAATGTTCTAAAAATTGCTTTGTGGTAATATCATTTCTGATCTACAATTTCTAGAATTTTATGGGATAGTTTTACTTTTATTTATTCTGCCTGTACAGACAAGAACAAAAACTTTTCTAAGCCCCACATTTCGTATTGAAGGCCACAGCGAATCTTCACTCAACCTAACAACTTTGACCAAATGCTTTATGGGTGTTTTAGACTCATATAATTTGTTCTTTTCAAATAATAGTGAATAATTAATATTTTTATTTGGAATATGAGAACAATTAAATTTGTACTTTTAGTAAGTACGATTCTTTGATTAGAAAATTAAGAGAATGCATATCTTACTTTGGTTGTAAATTATCAAGGCCTTTCTAATAGAAATCATATATAACATTTCTAAATATAAGTCCTTTCACATACTGTGCTTCCAGTTGTCTTAATATTGAAAAGTGTAATAAACTTCTTGTTCAACTATTGGAGATTTGGGAAGATTGAAAATAAATTTCCTAATTTTTATTTGTATGTGTTCTCTTCTATGTTTAACTCTAGTATAACTATCTTCCTGTAACAATTAAGTTAAAATATTCTTTAACTAGGATTGAAATCAATTGGTCACTAAGGAGGGCGCTGCTTGTTTTTTGTTTTTTGTTTTTTTAAAAAAAAAAAAAAAAAAAAAAAAAAAAAAAAAAGCCAGGAGGAAAGAGATTGTCCTCCCTGTGTCCTCTCCATCCCCTATGAACTTACAGTGCTGAGCTCAAGCATAATGACCAAACTTCACAGCATGGTCAAGCTGCAGAGATAGGTGCCAAGACTACCAATTATTAATACTGGCCGCTTCCTAATTGAATCAGTCAAGCAGTTTTGGAAAAGACTGTCAGAAAGGAGTGAGAAATGAAAAGAGGAAAATGTGATTGTTGAGATGGGCTAGCTCAACTCTTATATTCAGGATTTTAATATAAAAACAGTTTATTTTAAGATCAAAGTCAACATGTAATGAGACTTATAGGTATTTAAACAGTTATTGGTTCAAGTTGCCTCTAAAAGGAAGATAATGTGTAAAACTCTGGGGAGAATTAGAATTAGGATCTATTTCAGTAGGCTGAAATGCTAAAAATGAAATCCAAAGGAATAAAAGTATTCTTTTGATTTTATCATGAAAATATTTCCACAATTGTAACACTTCTGACTGCTTCTACTTCTACTGCTGTGGTCCCAGCTTCAGTCATCTCTTTTGGATTATTGCAAAAACCCTGTAACAATTCTTCCCATTCCAGCTCTTGCTTCCTATCAAGCTATTCTGATTGTGAGAGCCAGAATGAACTCATTAAAATATGTGCTATTATTACACACCACAGTGATGTGCTACCTCATTCAGAATAAAAGCCAAAATTCCTAAAACGATCTAGAAAGGTATCCACAATCTATTCCCATTATCTCTATGGATTCTTCTTATTCACTTTGCTCAAGTCATGCTGACCTTCCCATTTGATATGGTTTGGGTGTGTCCCCACCTAAATCTCATCTTAATTTGTAGTTCCCATAATCCCCACATGTCATCGGGGGCACCCCATGGGAGGTAATTCAATCATGGGAGTAGTTTCCCCCTTGCTGTTCTCCTGATAGTGAATGAGTTCTCATGAGATCTGATGACTTTTATAAAGGCTTTTTTCCACTTTTGCTCAAAACATCTTGCTGCCACCCTGTGAACAAGGATGTGTTTGCTTCCCCTTCTTCCATGATTATAAGTTTCCTGAGCCCTCCCCAGCCATACTGAACTGTGAGTAAATTAAACCTCTTTCCTTTATAGATTGCCCAGTCGTGGATATGTCTTTATTAGCCGTGTGACAATGGACTAATACACCATTCTTCATCAACTAGGCCAGGGCTAGTCCTATCCCAGGGCCTTTGAATTTGCTGGTCTCCCCACCTGGAACAATTTTAGCTCACCCCTCCAAACAGATCAGTCCCATACTTCCTTCAGGCTTTCTCAGTGTGGCCTGCCCTGGCCACCCTATCTCAAACTGTAACCTCAACTCCTCTTGTTCTTTCTAGCTCCTTCCCTGCCTTAATTTTCTCCATACTAGTTTATTCTATCTAACATAACAAGTTATATATTTTACATGTCCTGTTTCTTTTCTGTCTCTTTTAAACTAGAATGTAAACTCCCTGAAGGCAGGATTTCTTACTGGTTTCTACATTACACCCAGGCACTTAGAATAGTGTCTGGCATATATCTGGGACTCAATATATGTTTGCTGAGTGAACTGATTAAAGTTAGGAATATGACAACTCAGGTCTGAATACTAACTCCCTATTTACTGGGTTGCCTTGGATAAGTTTGTGAGCCTCTTTCTGCTTCAAATTCCTATATATATGTAAAATAGGGATTAAAATAGAATCTGCATTGTAGAGTTGTTGTGATAATTTGATGAATTAATATATGTAAAGTGCTTTGAGCTTTGGCAAAAAGTAAGTCCTCAATACATTTATCTGTTATTATTTTATAATATATATCTGTTCTAAATTATATGTTAAATGTTAGATCA